TTGTCAAATTTCCCAGAGCTGTACTGGTGCACGTATGAGGAGTAGGCTAGGTCTTCATGGGCTGTGGCAACATGGATGTTCTTCCCCCCAAAGACCGATTGTCGGATATCCAGAGCTGTCTGGGATTTGTACATCAGACAAGATTGAATTAAATAACATCCCTGAAAACAAGAGCATACTCCTGTAGCGCATCGCTCTACGTACCTGGTAAATAGCAACCGATTGGCATATGTTGTCCACATTTAATAAGTAAAATCCATAATCTAGCAGCGTGTCGGAGTACTTGGGATGCTTGTGTCCAAAATGTTCTCTGTAAGACAATATTTTCAGTCAGAAACTGCGACGTTAGAAAGTACCCTGGTGAGTCTTCATTACACCCAGCGGGTTACCTTGCTAGAAACACTGCGTGTTTGATCAGCTGCTCTGCTTTTCTGAACTCTCTTTTCACCACGCAGGCCTGCAGGGAAGAGACAGTTTACACGTGTGTCTGGAATACTAGTGTGAAAATTCAGACGAAGACTGATCTGAGCGATAAATACATGTGTGAGTGTTACCTTGGAGGCCTGGCGAAGGACATCAACCACTACTTTGACAGGCAGCCCTGGAGTAATTTCCTTCATAGCCTCTATACACCACCTGTACGCCTGAGAGACAAGGTCATTGCAGACAGAAAGGACTTTCAGTTGTCTCAGTATCAAAACTGTAAAGCACCATCAGTGGTCAAAGCTACACACCTCGTCATAGTGGCTTTTGGCAAAGAGCAAGGCACAGAGCTCGCCGTACAGCGCTGCCTTGTTGGCCTGGTGGCCATGTTTGGCTAGTTTGTCCATGTAAGACTGAGCAAGCTTGAAGGTCTCCTCCCCAAGGTGGTACTTGCAGTTGCCATTACGGACATGAAGCAGCCTGAAGAGAGAAGACAGGGACGCTTCAGTCTCAGTCTTATCTGCTGTATTACTGCATAACTGTCCATTTAAAAACAACAAAAGCTGTGGAAGGAAACTGCTGCACTGGTTTCACTGAAAATAACTGGATTCAGTTTTCCGCAATTTGCAACATATGTGTGTGTGCATGTATGAGAGAAGTGGCTCAGGATGGCTGTCACCACTGCTACCGTCTCCTGGATTCCTCAGTTTGTACGGATGGTGAACCCCATCTTTAATGTGGTGTTAGTACTACTGGGGCACCACACGGGACAGTCCTGTTGATTTTCTACACTATAGATTTCCAGTGTAACAGGGAATCGAGCCACATGCAGATGCTCTCTAACGACACTGCAGTGGTTGGGTGGGCAGGAGTCAGAGTACAGGTACTGGTGAGACGTTTTGTGGGATGGTCCAACAAAAATCTCCCTAGAGCAGGGCGATATGACCAAAAATTTAGGGTTAATTTGTAGTTTATCATTAACAGGAACACAGTGGAAAGAAACTATAACATTCGGATTGTCTACATTCAAAGGAACTACTTCCTCTTCCGCCTTTCATAGTCATGTGCGAAATACGGCTGTATAAATGTCTCGTAGCCCCTTGGCGCGCGCACTCACAACAATGGCTGAGCGTAACTGTGCGGACGTATTTTACCTCCAGGCTGCTTCCACCTGAGGACCCGGCCTTCGCGGTCTAAAGAAAGCCGGGTATACGTCATGAGCTGGAGGTGGAGTGAAACTCTGCCGTCTGCTCCTTGCTATCTAAAATATAACAGAGCGCTGGCGTAAACTCTCGACCGTCTCACACTTTCTTTAATTAGTTTTCTGTTTGATGTTTATTCAGCTGTGTGAAAACCCCGGAGGAACCCAC